TCTGCTCCTCTGATGCTGCTTGGCCTGCTGTGTTCATCCAGCCCTGCACCTTGTTGTCTCGGATTCTCCAGCATCTGCAGTTCCTACTATCTCTGATACTTTAATGGCAGTTTTTTCTTTTCATAAAGATTTCTATTTTCATATATACTTCCAGAGAGTCACTTCTTAGTACAAGTCCATAAGACACAGGATCAGAAGGAAGCCATTCAGCTCATCAAGCCTACTCTACCATTCAATGAGATTATGCCTGATCTGCTAATCCTGCACTCCATTTTCCTGCCTTTTCCCCATAACCCTTGATTCTGTTACTGATTAAAAATCTCTCAGCCATGAATATACGTATTAACCCAGCCACAACAGCACTCTGTGGTAAAGAATTCCATATATTCACTATCACCCATCTGTATCTTAAATATATGGCCCCTCATTCTGAGATTATCCCCTCTGGTCCTAGACTCTCCCATTAGGCAGAAACAATCTTTCCACATCTTTCCTCGTATGTTTCAATAAAGAGTCGCCTCTTTATTCTTCTAAATTCCAAGCACAGGCCCAAATTACTCAACCTCTCCTCAAGAGGATGCCTCCATAGTTGGTATCAGTCTAGTGAACCTACTGTGGATTGCCTCCAATGGCAGTATATCTTTGCTTAAATAACAGGGCCCAAAACTCTTCAGTATTGGATTTTTGTCTTATATAAGCTTGGTAAAATTTATACTCCATTCCAATGGAAATAAAAGCTAACATTTGATTTGTCTTCCCTAATACCCACTGAATTTCAATGCTAGCTTTTTGCTATTCATGAACAAGAATTCCCAATCTCTGCTCTGCAGCCTTCTACAGTTTTGTTCCATTGAAACGGTATTCAGCTCCTCTATTCTTCCTGCCAAAGTGCTCAACCTCAAATCGTATTCCATCTGCCAGGTGTCTGCCCACTCAGCGTCTCCCTCTCACACCCCGTCCAGGCTGTCATCCTTGCCACTTGCTTTTCTACCTTTTTTTTGTGTCTTCTGTTAGTACTTTCACTCTTCTCATCCAAGTCATTAACATACATTATAAATAACTGTGGCCCCAGCAATGATCCTTATGGCAATTACAAGTTGTCATCCTGAAAATGCCCCCCTTACTTCAACTGCCTTCTATAGGCCAGCTAATCCTCTACCACATTAATATATTGCCTCCAAAACCATGTGATCTTCTAAAATAGCCTAATGTATGACATTATCAAAAGCCTTCCAAAAACACAAATAAATTACATCCACTGCTTCCCCTTTATTTACACTACTTTTCGTCACCTCAAGGAATCCTAGTAAATTTGCCTTTCCAGGTCAAAAACCCCACGTTGTTTTAATCTTTCCTTAGAGCTCAAACTTTTGAAACTCAGGATCACCTTCAGCTCTTTTGTTCAACCTGTGCTTGGATGTCTGCAGAGTACTGGACGCAGTACAGGAATGCCAAAGTTATGAGAAATAACAAAAACCTGGACTTGCAAAAAAGGAGGTATCTGAAAGATTCGGGGATCATTATGGAAATTGAAAAGGTAATCTGGAGTGTTAATATAATTTAAATAGAGATGTACTGAGACAAGGACAAACAGCTTATACAAGTGAATTTAGGACAGATGCCAGGAACAGCTTCATACAGGTGAAATCTTCAAATGGAATTTTTCTGGATGAACGTATTAAGACACACTGAATTACCTTCATTTTCTGAAAATATCTTGTGAATGTTGAAATTGAGCAGTAAATCTGACAGAAAACTGAACATACCAAAAAAAAAGTCAAATAAGTGGAAAATATTGCTGGAAATCCAAAATAAAGCCAGAAAATGCTGGAGAAACTCAGGTCAGGCGGCATCCTTCTCCACAGATAATACCAAGCTTGCCGAGTTTCTCCACCATTTTGTTTTTTTTTTACATATCGAAGAACAAGTGTTCTAGCTGCTCATTAAGGAAGTTGTGTGTGTTTTGGGAAGAGACTGACTTTTGAACATGATGGTACAGAGTTTTGAATTGTTTTTCATGTGCTTTTGAAAATAAGCATTTTTGTGTGGCTTCTTTAAAACCTTGAGGGAGAAGGCCCATCATACACTACATGTTTTACAATTATTTTAAGCAGTCTATATATTGAAAGTGTTCATACATATAACAAGGCTGGTAGATAGTTAAAACTTGCAAATAATTGCAGTGTTTTTATTTCCACTATTTTCTAACCTGCTTTATAGTAACAGATGGCGGCTGTGGAAGTGGTTCTACAGAAACAGGCTCATGTTTTGAAGAAGTCTGGAAGGAAAAGAAAACAAAGATCATATTGCAGTTTTGTTTTGAATGTGCTCAAATTAATCAGGAAATTTATCAAAATATTTTTCTGAGTTTAAAGCTCTCAAGCTAAAAGTTTGCACTGCATGTAGTCAATGTACTTACTGAAAATGGTTCAGAGAAGATTAGCAAGAAAGGCAGTCTTCCTAGTTGATTGATTGAACAAGGAAATTAAATCTATGCCTACTGGAAAAAAAAATTGATAGGACCACAGTAAGGAAGAAACGTTTACCCACTTGCACGTTTTCAAAGCCATGAAGGAAAGTGATTTGTGCAAAGAATCTCAAATTTTCTGGCATAGGTGGCTATTTGGTCGTCAGGATGGCACCAGCTCTCCAAAAGAGCATCATGACATAACCCATTCTCTTGCCTTTTCCCTAAAACCCTGAACACTATATAATTAGAATTAACCTCTAACGCCTTTTTAAATGCCTTAATTGAACCTGCCTCCACCATACTTCCAAGCAGCACATTCCAGACCTAAATGATTTGCTGTGTGAATAAGTTCTTTTCCCCACTCACGCCACATTCGGTTCTTTTTCAAAGTCTGTGCCTCTCATTCTTGTTCCCACTCATGAATGGGCCACCTTTTCATCATCTACTCTGTCCAGGCACTTCATGGTCTTGAAAACTTCTAACAAATTCTAACTGTAACAAATCTTCTCCTCTCCAAGGAAAACAGTCCCAACAGCAATCTACCATCACAACTAAAGTTTATCATCTCTAGAACCACTCTTGTAAACCTCTTCTGCACTCTCCCAAATGCATTTGCATCCTTGCAGTGTGGTTCCCAAAACTGTACAACACTTCAGTTGAAGTTTATATACAGATTCTGCATAATTTCCTTAGTCTTGTATTGTGTGTCTCCATAAAAAAAAACAAACCTGGACACTGTATGCTTTATTAACTGCTGTCTCCACCCAGCCTGCTACTTTAATGACTTATACACCCAGGCCTTTCTACACACCCAATTACAGTAATATACTATTTTACAGCATCTCTCCTTGCTGTACCAAAATTAACACCTCACTTCTCCACACTAAATTTCACATACCATATATCAGACTACTCAACCAACCAGTCAACATTCTTTTGAGGTTCTACACAGTCCTCCGTTTACTATGCTCCCAACTTTTGTACAGTCTGGAAACAGAAATTGTTCTCTGTATACCAAAAGCTAGATCATTGATATATTAGCAGGAAAAAAACAAGACCCAATAATAAGCCTTGGGAAGCTCCACTACAAATCTTCCTCCAGCCAGAAAAATATCCATTACTCTTCATTTCCTCTCACTCAGCCAATTTTCTTTCTACATTGCTACTGTCCTTTTTATTCCATGAAAGGAAACTGCTCTCAGGTTTGTTATGCAGCATTAATTCAAACACCTTCTGTAACACTGTACATATGGATCGCATTAACCTCATCATCCTGTTTTGCCTATGTAACTTAATTCAATTCAGAGTTATTGTCTCTAGCAGTTTCCCAACCATCCAAACAAAACTAACTAGCCTGTAATTGCTGGGGACTTATCCTCATACTTTTTAAAGCAAAAGCATAATATTTACAATTCTCCAGTTCTTAAGTGCAGCAAGTCTAAAGACGACAAACATTTATGGTCAATGCTGACAATTCCACACTCAGTTTTGGTGCCTTACCAAGATATGAGGAAAAAAATAAGCCATGCCACCCCTCAAGCCTGTTTTGCCAGTCAATAAGATCACGATTGATCTATACTATGAATTCAACATTTCCAACTATTGACAATATTCTTTTAATTCCTATACCAAACAAGAATCCATGTTGCCACAACGACCCCAACTCCATCACCTTCTATGGAGGAGAGTTCCAAAATTTTAAGCCTCAGATAATATTTCTTCTCATGTGACCAAAATGGGCAAGCTCAAACCTTAAAACAATGCCTCTTACTTCTCAACTCACTCTCAACAGGAAGCATTCTTTCCACGTCCAACTTGTCAAGACCATTCACTTCAGTCAAGTTAACCCTCATTCTTCTCAATTTCAATGAAAACAAGCCCATTCTGTCCAACATTTCCTGTTGAGACAATCCATTCATTTCAGGCATCAATTGAATTAACATCATCTGAACTACTCAGAACACACTTACATCCTTCCTTCGATAACAAGGCCAAAACTGCATCAAGTATTTTAGATGTGATCTTAGCAATGATCAATAATTGTATACCTTCACTGCCCCTTATCCAAGGCACTGATATCAACTGTAAAAAGCTGAAGGCCTCAACAAACAATTGCTATCCATTTCTACACTTCTAGCTAGCTTCCTCATACTAATTTCTTTCACCTGATTACTCGTTCAGCCCTTATTTGCCATTTTTTTTATATCCTGTCCAATCATTTCACCTGCCACTTGTATTTGCATAGTATGTTTTTCTCTTAATTTTGATTCTTCCCTTAACGTTAGTTATGCAGATGGGAGTCCTTGTCTTTGAATTTGTTATAGCAAGAACATATTTATTCTGAAATATCTTCAGAAAATGTCTGCCAGTGCTTCTTTATTGATCCATCCCCTAGCCTAGTACCCCATCAACCAGCTCAGCTTTCATGGTCTTACAAACAAAGGCAGCGAAAATTAATAAGTATTAGACTTAAATCCATTCCTCTACCTTTGAACCTAGAAGTAAAATTCAAATCACCTTGCGGTAGCTGCTACCATTACTCTGATGTAATTAGTCAATTCTGTCAAATTACACAAAAGTTAAGTGTAAACAGTTCTCTGGTTAGTGGCAAAATATTTTTTTGAAGAACTACAGAAACTCTTCTAGGCTATCAATGCCAATCTGATTTTACCAGTTTACATGTAGCTCAAAACCAGCACTGATTACTACTGTTCCATCATAAACACCCAATAGCTATTTTTGTATACTTTGCTAAAGAGCCTGTAAACCTCGGTGATTTATTTTTCCTACTACTCTGCTCTAGCCAAACGGATCCTAAATCCTGATCTTCTGAACCAATGTTATCTAACTCCTGCACAAATGTATTACTTATTAAACGTTGCTAACTCTCCAACTTTATAGATCTTCCTATTCTTGAATAACAAATACTCTCGACATTCAAGATATTGGCCTTATAATTAAGCTAGTTTCAGTAACGGCCATCACGTTTACTTCATGGTGACTTATCAATTTGCTTATCATGAATGCTGCACGCATTTAGATAAGGAGCCTTCAGTTTTGAGTTCATTTTTGTAGGATCAAGTCTTGACTGTTGATGTCGATATGCATGTCTGAGGCAGATGGGACTTGAACTCAGGACAGTGCCTCTAAGTTACAAGACCCTCCCAAACTGTGTATTCTTGGGTTTGTCCCTTCCTGTTGATTGGACCTTAAAATTTTCAATAACACTCTTACTTTGTTCTCAGCCTTGAATCTACTGTTTCATTCGCTGGAGAAGGAATACAAGTGTATGTCCAAATAAAGACAGTGAGACACAAGGACAATTTGAAGGTAGCCATGCTCCATCTACTGCTCTCCTCCTATTTGGAAGAAGTTGTGTTTGGAAGGTGTATATAGAGAGCTGTGGTACGCTGATGCAGTGTATCTAGTAAATGGCATGCACTGCTGTTGCCATTCACCAAGAGTGCAGTGCGTATGTTGAAGATGGTGAATGCGATGCTGATCAAGTGTACCGCTTCATCTTGAATGGTGTGGAGCTTCAAGTGAGTTGTTTGTGCACTCATCCAGACAAGTGGATAGTATTCCATCACAACTCTGACTTATGCCTTGTGTAAGTTTGGGATTAAGAGGCAAGTTACTCACTGTAGGACATCCAGCCTCTGAGCTGCTTTTACAGCATTTATAAGGCTAGCCCAACTCAGTTTTTGGTTAATTGTAACCCCAGGACACTGATGGAGATTTCAGCAATAGCCATTGAATACGAAGGGGACATGATTGGATTGGAGGCGTCATCGCCATGAACTTGTGTAATATGAATGATAACTTGGCACTTGTCAACCAAAGTCTTCTGTTGTCCAGGGTAGGCAAGCACGTGAGTTATCAGTGTCTCTGAACACTATAAGCATCAGCAAATACCCCCACTTCAATGTTAAACTGGAGAGATAACATATCTGAAGATAACCGTGCCTTCAACAGCGCACTGGGAACTTCCTGCAACAATGTCCTGGAATTTAGACTATTGCTAGATATAGATCTTAGGGCTAAAAGTTAACATAAAGATTGTGATTGTTAGAGGACACAGGATAGGGAGCTGGATGATCAGCCATGATCATTTTGAATGGCAGAGCAAGCTTTAAAGGGCCAAATTGCGTATTCCTGCTCCTCCTCATTTTCTATGTCACTGTGTCCTCTAACAATCACAACCTTTATGTTAAATGCAATCCAGCCAGTGAAGAATTGCCAATTCTGTTGATTTCAATTCTACTAGGTTTCCCGATGCCACACTTTCTCAAATGCTGCATTATCATCAAGGGCAGTCATGCAAAACTCACGTACGGAACTGTGCATTTTTGGCTAGCTTGCACAGAAGTTGCAATCAAGTTGGAGGACAGCAGTCCTGGCAAGAACCTAAGCAAACCAAACATCTGTTACAACTCACTGGGGTAGCCTGCTGGAAGTCAAGCCCTGCTATTCCCAGAATCAGAAAAGTAAAATGATATGCAATTTACCCAACTTTCGACTCCAGGTTGACAGAAAGCATGGGCCAGGTTTCTATACCAAACAAGAATAATTACTTGTAATAAGTAGTCAGATTCAAGCCAATTAAACTTCTAATCCACTAAACTCTTTCATTTGTAGGTTATTGGGTAGAGGGAAAAACACTTCAGTAGCATTTCTTTCCAGGTGCTGTCATTGAGATGATCCTTAGAACTTTTCTGCTGACTAGCATGTTGCTTCAGTCATCTTTCTCCAGATGCTTCCACTGGTTGGTAAGAGACAAAGTGGCTGGTTCACTTAAAAAAAAGTTTGACTCATTAGTCAAAAGTCAAAGCTTACAACCGTTCCAGGGAAGATTAACTTTAAACTTGAAAACTAGTTTATTTTGACTGCAGAGAACAGATAGATCGCTTCCAAACTGGGTAAGAACTGAATAGCTCTCTCCAACTAAACAGCTCTGAGCTGTTGCAAGTTATCATAGAAACAATTACAAAGTTGTTTGAAGGCAAAAGGACTTTCATCGATGACTGGACTTTAGTCCAATCAGCTTCTTATTGCAAAGAAGCGCTGTATCTGTACACCTTTTCAGCTCAAAAATCGCCTACAACTCAAACTTCAATTATGGCTGGTGAAACAGTTGTTTACATGATGCTTAGCATGGGTGTATTTGCTTTCAAAACAGACAGCCAGCTTTTCAAACACTTTAAAATAGCTCTTCCTCATTTCAGTCCACAGTTTAAAAAAGAACAAAACAGACAGAGACAAAATCCTTACACATTGCTACGCTGGCTACTGCTAAGTAAACACTCCTCGATTGCGGTGTTGACAGAAAACTAATGACTTAGAACATATTACTGGTGTATCATTGGCTGGATTGGATTGTCTACCAATGTGTGTACAGGATATTCCTGAGCATTTTCTATGTTGTTGGATGGATGCTAGCATTGTAGTGGTCCTGGAAGAGCATGGTTAAGGTTGCAACTAGTTTGAAGTACAAGTCCTCTGTTAGGATTTTGCTAGAGCCCAAACACTTTGCTATGGTGAAAGTACAAACCACTATGGCAACATCTGAAGAAAGTAAAGGTGTTCTCTTCCTGTCCTGACTAATAGTTAGCTCTCAACTAATATCACTGAAACAATAAAGATGTAAAACTCTTGGACACCCCTCATGTCACAGTAAGTGTTGTAGCAAAATGGGGCTGAATCTCTAGGTTTCACTACTATCCAAGTGATCAGTCAACAAAAAAAAAAAAAAAAAAAAAGTATAACTGGACAGAAGAGCAAAATCTGTCAGACAAAGGCAGAGGAAGTAACTTGGGCATTTTACTGTTAATCTTGGATTTAATTAGAAATCAGAATTAAAAAATTACTTATTTTCCCCCTCCACCCCCCCCACCCCCGAAGAAAGATTTCACTGAGTTTCTTGTCAACTAGAATTTATGACAGCACCAACAACTACTAGAAATCTCTGAAAAAGAAGTGAACAAACCTGAGACAGTTTGGTCCTGAAACACTGGATTTCACCATCCTCTGAATGAGTGAATAAAAACATAGGCATATCCTGGTTACCATCTTGTAAGTAGCCTTCCACCTCCACCTTCCTTTTCAGTGTCGAATTCCAGTGATTCTTTACAGCATTGTCTGTTCTACAATTTAAAAGAAAGTGCCATTAATCAGATTGGTTATATTAAATTGAAAAGCCAGGAATGCTTAAAAAGTGATCAAAATTGTCAAATAACGGCAGACTTCACGTAATGTAAATATAAACATATGCATTAGGAGCAGGAGTAAACCATTCAGCCCCTGAAGCCTGTCCACCATAAGATCACAGCTGAACCGACTGTAATCTCAAATTCACTTTCCTGTCTAGTCCTGATAACTCCTCACTTTGTTAAAAGGAGAATCTATGCCTGGATTTAAAAAAAAAAATAAAGTCGAGGACCTGCTCCCACCACCTTAACTCCACAATCTCATGCAAGTCACAGTCACTTTTATGGCAATCACAAGGCAGTAAACTGCCATTAGAAGAGTGGTAACAGCAATTTATGGGCTCATTATTTTATAATTAAAATTTTGTTACAAGAGCATGTAGCTACTCCCTCAACCTCAAAATGGAATAGTACAGAAAGGTTGAAGCTTCTTGTGTTCCACAGAGCAAACACTCAAAATTCAGTGTTTTTTTTAAAACTATTTCACAGCATATGGACATCATTAGCTAGGGTAGCAATTGCACCCATCCTTAATTATTTGAGAAGGTGGTAGTGAGCCATCTTGAATCTAGCAGTCCACGTGGTGCAGGTACACCCACATTCCTGTTATGGAGAGAGAGGATTCTAAGCCAGTGACCGTAAAAGAATGGTAATACATTCCAAAGTTAGGTTGGTGTGAGACTTGGAGGGGAACTTGTAGATGCTGATGTTCCCATGCATCTGCTGCCTTTGTTTTTCTAGATAGTACAGAAGTTATCTTTCGAAGGTGCAGCTGGTGGCTTGGACAATTGTGTAGAGCATATTGTAGACGGTATATACTGCCAAAACAATGACAAACTCCACAATATTGATAGCTGGGGTTTCAGTGATGATGCTATTGACTATCAAGGGAAAAGGTTAGATTCTCTCGTTGGAGATGGTCACTGCCTAATACTGGAGTGGTGCAATTTTTACTAAATACCACTTCAGCCCAACCCTCAATGCTACCAGATCTTTCTGCTTATGGAGAAGGGAACTGCTTCAGTATCAGAGTCACATACGATACTGACATTGACCAATCATTCATCCCCACTTCTGGCCTTACAAAATGGAGAGAAAGTCATTGATGAAGCAACTGAAGAATGTTGGTCCTAGAGCATTACCTGGAGGAACTTCCGAAGCGATACCCTGTTATGGAGATAATTGGCATCCAACAACTACAGCTACCTTCCTTTATGCTAAGTATGACTCAACTAGTGGACAGTGTTCCTCCTGACTCCCATCAGTTGTGCTAGGGCTTCTTGCTTCTACTCTCAGAAAAATGCTGCTTTGGTGTGAAGGGCAAACACAGTAGTCAACATTCTGGAGTTCAGTTCAATCGATCTATGTTTGGACCAAGTCTATAATGAGATCAGGAGCTAATGACCACAAATTGGACACCACTGAACAGATTATTGCTGCTTGATGGCACCACTGATGATGCTTTCCATCAATTTGCTTATCAAAGTGCTTATTGGGTGGAAAATGGTCACGTTGAATTATTAATGTCAACAGGTTATAACTGGGGCAATTTTTTACATTTGTCCGGCAGCATTATATTTAAACTCAAACGGCTTGGCTAGCGCACTACTTTTCCAGAGCATTGTTTACTATATTATTGCCAGGATGTTGTCAGGGTCCATAGCCTTTGCAGCAGTGCCTTCAGCCATGTCTTAATATCATGGAGTGAATCAAACTGGCACTGGTGATGCCAGGGACCTCAGGAGGCAGAGATGGATAACCAAATCCGCACTTCTGCCTCATCATTTGTACTAGTAATACACAAATTCATTAATTTATTCTGGACAAAGTAATGCTGACATATTGTTAATTCCTCTTTCCTTCTCTAAATGTATGCTTTTGGACATTTCTTTACTTCTGCTGTATTTTATGCTTTGGCTCAATTCCTTCTAATCTAACCACTTCCCTTTTTTACTTCATTCACTGCAAAATATTACTTTCAGAGGAGATGGAAAGCTAGTAGTCAATCTTACAACATTTGTTTTTAAATGAAGTCTTCTGCATAACAGTTATAGCATGCAGAACCAGAATCATTATACAAACAGCAACCAAACAAACTACCCAAAAACAGTTATGTAGCAATCCACGTACATATTGTCTGGATCTCAAATCCAATAGGAAAAAAACCTGAAAGAACTGTTAGTTCCTAGCACACTTGTGACAGAACCCAATGGAACACTTGCCTCCCTGGTAGCAGTTTTGCAATCTCTGCCCAGCGGTTGCCAAGGACCTTGTGTGCTTCGTAAATAATCTTGTCCTCCTCTTTAGTCCAAGATGACTTCTTTACCTCAGGATTGAGATGATTGTGCCAGCGTTCACGACACTGTTTCCCAAGTCTACCTTTTAGATGTCTCGCAATTAATGACCAACGTTTTGGCCCATGTTTCTGAACTAATTCAATTACCTAAAATGAAACAAGAGGAATCAAAGATCACTTCATTCAATCTGATCTATGCGTAATGTGCTAATAGATTTGTACATTTCTTTCAGATTTTCCTGTATATGCTAAAACAAGTACAATTAGCAGGTATGCAACCGGATCCCAGCCCTCAACCAATATTGCTGCAGCGATAACAAAAAAAAAAGGTGACTTTATCCAACTTTTCCACTCCTCATCTCAACAGTCAGACACAACCATTACTCAGCACCTTTCACTATTTGCTGAAGAAAAATATGGTGACTTGCACCATAAAAGCAATCAGGTAAAAACCAAGACATCAGTGTCACTGATATGCTGCGCTGAGAGAACTAGTAACTTGTTGGGACTATAGCATTTTAAACATAATAGCTGCAGATATAGAGAAATCATGCTTAACCAATTTACTGGATTTTGTTCAAAAAGAGTAACCTGCGCTGTGGATAAAAGGCAGCCTAGAGACACTCTGTACTTGGATTTCCAGAAGGCACTTGAGAAGGTGCCACATAAAGAAGTTATCATCCACAGTAGAAGTGGTAGTGGTAGTAGTAGTAGTAGTGGTAACATAGTAGCATGCAGTTGTTTGTTAGCTCGCCGAGCCAGTTGTTCCACAGTGTGCAGACATTTCATTACCATTATAGGCAACATCAGTGCAACCTCTATTCGAAGCGTTGGTGTTCTGCTCCTTTCCAAATTTATATGATCCGCTGGTGTGGTGGGCCGTCATTTCCGGTTCTGTTTTTTAGCAGCAGTCTGTATACAGGGTCTATTTCTGTGTGTTTGTTAATTGGAGTCCCATGTTGAGAACCAGGCTTCCAGAAATTCCCTTTTATGTCTTTTGTTCGCTTGTCCCAGTCGAACTGATGGCCCTCATTGTCTGTGTATGTCAAGACAAGTGAATATTGGTCATGTCTTTTTACTGCCAGCTGGTGTTCATGTATCCTGATTGTCAGTTTCCTCCCCATTTGTCCAATGTAATGTTTATTGCACTTGCAAACACCAGCTGGCAGTAAAAAGACACAACCAACATTCGCTTGTCTTGATACACACAGACAGACATCAAGGGCCATCAGTTCGACCAGGACAAGCAAACAACAGACATGCAAGGGAACTTCTGGAAGCCTGGCTCTCAACACGGGACTCCATTAACAAACCCACAGAAATAGACCCGCATACAGACTGCTGCTAAAACACAGAACTAGAAATGACAAGACTCACATCAGAGGATCATATAAATTCAGAAAGGAGCAGAACACCAACGCTTCAATTAGAGGTCACACTGATGAGGTTGCCTAGAATGGTAACAAAACTTCTGCACACCATGGAATAACTGGCTCGGCGAACTAATGAACAACAGCATCCATAACCTGAGCTACAAATTTTTGCTAAAACTTTAAACACACTAGCATGGATAGAAAATTGGTTGGCTTGCAGAAAATTGTGTCCATAAGTGGGTTCTTGACTAAATGGCAGGATGTGTCAAATGGAATCCTGCAGGGAGTTGGTGCTGGAGCCTCACTTTTTTTAACAATTTATAACCAGCGAGTTTGATGAGACAAGTGAAGGCACAGCAATTGAATCTGCTAATGATACAAAAAGAGGAGAAAATATTCTGTGAAGTGGTCATAAAGTGAATGCAGATAGCTATAAATAGATGAAAATTTGGAAAGTGGAGTATGATGTGGGAAAGGGTGAAATTGCTCAGTTTGGTAGGAAGGACTTTTATTAATAAGAGTGTATTACTTAAACAGAACAACGGCAGAATTCCAAGGTTCAGGGCAGAGGTATTCTACTGTACAAGTCACAAAAGCTTAGTATGCAGGTACCTCAAGTAATTAAGATGGTTAATGGAATACCAGCCTTCACAATGACAGGAATTGAGCATAAAGTAAAATATTATGCTTCAGTTATAAAAGGCAATGGTGACACCACATCTTGAATACTATTTGCAGTTCTGGTCTCCTTATTTTAAGGAGATGTAAATGAGTTGGATGTGATTCTGAGGAGGCTTACAAGACTGATGTCACTAATTAGCATGCTGTCTTGTGACAAGTGGCTGGACAGACTGGGCTTTTTTCACTGGAGTTTAGGAGAACGAGGGAATAACTTGACCGAGGTATACAAGTTCCTGAATGGTTTTGACAAGTTAACGTGGAAAGGACGTTTCGTCTGACGAGCAAACCAAGATCCAGGGAACACACTTTAAGAAGAAAAATTTTTTTTGAGGATTGTGACCTTTGAAACTCAGCCTCAGCAAGCAGTGTCATTGTTTTTGTAAAAGTGGAGGTAGATAGATTACAGGAAAATGGACAGGAGAATAAAATTAATCAGGAGTAGATAGGAATGTAGCATTCTAAGTATAAACAGCTCAGTCATTCTTGTTGAATGGTGGAACAGGCTTGAGGGGCAAAAGGTCCTTCTTTTACGCCTACGTTCCTAGATTCATGATACTTATAAAAAAAGTCCCTTACAGGCTTGCAATTTCATCCATTTTTACACTTACCTTCTGATCTTCTTCCTTTGTCCATGGCCCTTTCACAAGCTCTGGATTCAGAACTTTCAGCCAACGATGCTGGCACTGAAGATCAGTTCGGTTCTGTAACAATTAAAGTCAAAAAGTATAACCAACATAAAAGGGCGGGGAGGGGCACAAATTACACACAAGACAGGAAGTTCAGCATCATTTACTCCAATATGACTGTGGTATACTTCAAGATTCCATTCTATTCCCATCTCTCAGCAGCATTATCAATTAAAGGGCCAGTTTCTACACGTACAGGGATAGCATTCAACTATGCATCTCTCCCAGACAGTCAATCAACTAGCCGATAGGTGACTGCAACATAACACAAGATGAAAGTTGGAACATGTTGGAGATTACGTAGAGTGGACTTGGGAGAAAGTGAGCAAAGCATTGCAAAAGTCAAATGGCATCCATTCAAAAACCATTTTGCACTTAAATTGGAAGCAATCCAAACAAAATTAAATCTAAAAAAATTTAAATAATTCAAATTTATAGGATATTTAACTGCTTTTGAGAAATCCATTTAATGTCAAATATTGGGTACAGTTTGAAGTTATTAAAAACAATTATGCCCTTTCATGGACGTAGTGTTCCCTTCAATAGGGAGACTGAACATATTCCAAATACTGGAAACAGTGGCATATTTAAGACATAATACATAGCCTAACATTTTGGGTTTGGATCCTTAAACAAGATTGGAATCTGGAAGATAAACTTCTTTGTAGAAGCTGGAGAAAAAAAGAAGTCAATTAAAAGGGATCATATTTCCCATCTACAAACGTCACCCTATCCTCCCACATAACCAATTATCCCACTAACAACCTCATTTTCCTCTTTCAGCACATTTCTTTGAGTGTATTATTCTTTGACAATACACTTGTCCAACATTCTATCGAATCCACAGCTGGTCAATTTTCCCTTATGGCCTTCCAATCTGGCAGGAGGAACCAACGACAACAGCTAGCAGGCCAAATACACAAGAATTTACGTGCAGTCCCTCCAATCTAGTACACTGTACTTGACATTCAGTTTGCTTCTCTATTTTGGGAAGCCAATAAGTAGATTCAGTGATCATTTTTCAACATTTGTTCTATCCATATGTTACTAGCTTCACTGTGGCTCCGCAGTGCGCCTCCTTCATTTGTACTGGGACCTTTTCCCTTTGCCTCTTCCCCATTTCCAAAGTGCAACATATTTTGGGGGACAATTTTAGCAAAGAAATCCCACCTATCCTCAAAGTTCTGCTACAATTTGATTTGAACATGTGACTTTCATGAGTTCAGATTTCTTTTGTTTCTTGCATCCACTTACCACCCACTTTAATACTATTAAAAAAATTCAATCATCTTTTTCTATTATTAAATCAACCTTCAGTAGATTTCAGTTTTTGACAAAATGAGGTCAAAACAAGATTTTCAAAACCACAAATAATTTAAATGCAACCAAATGCAGTTCAACTTGTGGTAGCTTGAACGAGGAAGGTGTGGGATATTTGAACAAAAGATTATTACAAATCACTACTTTTTCAAATCACATGCAATAAAACCACCAGTGGAAATTATTTTTCAAAAATGTTAGTGCTGAAAATAGTTAACACACAGCACGTAACGTATACCATCACAATCACATTCTAATCTGGAACTTTGCGAGAACATGCATATACTCATAAGTAGCATTGCCTGTTGTGGAAACCTGCAATTCGAAGGCCAACAAACAAGATTGCAAAGTCCCGTGGGTGTATTAAAGACTGTGATTCCAGCGCTATCAAAAATCGTTAAGACTAAGCAAACCTGTTTCATAATAGCAAAGGTTGACAATATGCATCCCATCAATTTAGGGAGGAATATATAAAAAAAAATCTAAGTTCCAGAGCTAACCAATAAACTGAATACTGATGAATGTACCACCTGACCTATAGGCAGCAATTCTACAAAAATTAACTGTCATATACTTCTTTCCAAGAAGCGTGCATATGGAGGATTTGTCTTGTTCTTCAAGAATCTGCAACAAGGAAATTTAGTCCTTTTTTTTGCACAGGTGGTTATATTTTCTGGATATAAGCAGAGGCTAAGTTTTTCCCATTTGAGACGCTCATTTTTTTCCTAACCTACCTCTGCTTGTTCACTGCACTCAAATATGGGTCTAAAAATACATGGAGTTCATTTGCTTGTGTAATTAATAAATTTCACATCAAGAGTTTTTTTGACGGTCTCAATAATGGGAAGGTAGGCTGTGAGATCAGTTTTACTCAAGAACCAGGACAAGAATGACTACCATCAGAAATCACAAGTATAGATACTTACAGAAAAATTACTTGCTATAAGTCTCCAATCATTTTTGCCATATTGGTTTACCAACTTCTTCAACTTTTCATCCTATGCAAAAGCAAAAAGTTTAAGTTAAGCACCTTTAAACACAGTAATGTCATTAAAATCCTGCTGTAGGTAGTGTGAAGCTTCTTGCAACTTCTATTAAGATTATAGGGCTGTGTGCCACAATAACTTTGCAAAGCCACAATAAAAAGGTTCAAACCAATTAAGCTGCAAGATAATGTTTCTACAATAAATTAGAATAACTTGTACAGGAAGAAAACATAGCACTAAACTAGATTTGTAGTGTGTTTGATAAGTGACTTTAAAAATAGCAATTTCTTCAAAGCTCTGCAATAAATCTATTTACTGTAAGAGAATCAATGACAATCAGTGCATTCATGTTTTTTTTTCCCACAAACTATATGACATGCTTCTGTTAGTGTGTTTTATAATTCAGTCCATTAATACCATTATCAAAATTTCCCTAAACAAAAGGAAGAGTGAGCCTTTAACATGTTGTTAATCTGGTGTAGTGATAGCACCTCTACCAGCCCCATATGGCCCACACATGTTGTAACACATCTGAACAGGAAGATTAAAAATATCTACAGTTGACCAGCGTACCTATTGCCAATATTTCAGAAACTTGAATTCTAATAGCTGCTCCAGTTTTCTGCAGTAGATGGCATCACAAACTAGCAGAAATTCAAGCAAACTACTATGCTTTCAACCCATCGAAGCGCTGGCACAAACTTCAGTATGATTGAGAATCAGCAGGTAAGCAGCTGCAGTGGTTACTACAAGTGAATTTGGTTAACATTAAACTTTAAAGTTTAAAAAAGAAACTGAACAGCCTGATACAATGATCATAGCATGTTTGATTATTTGTGCACAACAGTATCCAAGAATTATAATTCTTTACATTCATACATCCAAGTCATCACTTTTTTTTTTTAAACTGCTGATGTGCTGTATGGTTTCTGTGACACATGCTTACAGATTGACATTCATACTTGGAAATAGCAGTGCCTTAGAGATTTTGATTTTTCCATTGCAGATCCCCTACAAATTCACTACTAGAGTTGGGAGTTGCTACAGTTTCACCCACTACAAAAAAGGAGCATTCCACACATTTTGTTCTTACTGTAAGAACAGATTTTGACTGTCTCATTAAATTCCAGTGTTTCATATGGATAGATTTTCAGTGAAATATTCTGATGCGTACATGAAATCAGCACTTCCTGAAAGGATAAAGTGTTTTATGCCCTAAAAAAATTTGGCAACAATACCTGTTCCTGACTAGACAAGCTATGAAAAAAGTTTTAAAATGGCAAAATAGGAGCGAATTTTTGCATGTTTTTAATAATATCAATCCACGAGTTGATTCTCTTTCCCATCCGGAAGCATATCAATGAAAGATGCACCACAGTTCTGTAAATGCTCTGTATTTCAGATTGAAATGTAACTTCAAATTCAAGTTGCACTTCAGTTGATAGAAACATCGTTATTCTGAGAAACCAGGCATTGGAGTTTTACAATGGGTGATATTTTAGGTGTATTTGTCATTTTGCTTTAAAAAAAAAAAAAAAAAAACACACACACACACGCATTTGGTTTCAAAGCAGATACCTCTTCCGCAGACCATTTGACTTTGAAGAACCTATTTGCATCTTTGTGATCCGGAATATCGTAATCCAAATCCTGTGAGGGTTCATCCAATTCTTCACTGTATGTACATTTATGAAAAGAAAGCACATCATGAAGTAGAAATTCATGCAAGCACTCAATGTGAGTTAGAGTTGAAACAGCAAATCAGCAGAGTCAACTTAATTTGTGGAATAAGGAGGATCAAGTTTGTTAACTCTAACGATATATATTGAAGTCTGCTCACGTGTAATACTACGCTTCCTCCTAGTTTACAAGATAGAAACTTGTTTTCAACATGGACCAACATGTCCCATTTCTTTCTATTAGGAAAATACTCAAAACATACAATATCCTGACCAGATAAAGCAGGCTCTAAAATTAAGTTCAGAAGGGAGGTGAAGAGGTCAACGCATTTAGACCATACGAACTCATGCAGAAACAACTCCCTGAAGATAGTAATTACATGGCCAAGAACAGATGGAATCTAGTCTGGTAGCAAATTGTAAACCCATTAAAAAATAAAAAAAACAAAAAAGGGCAGTATGGTATCTCAGTGGTTAGCACTGCTACCTAACAGCACGAGGGACGTGAATTTGATTTGACCCTCATACGACGTTGTGTGGAGTTTGCACATTCTCCCTGTGTTTGCATGGGTTCCTCCCACAATCCAAAGATGTACAAGTTAGGTAAATTGGCTATGCTAAGATGCCCATAGTGTCCAGGTCTAGGCAGATTAGCCATAGGAAATGCTGGGTTGCAAGGATTGGTTCGGGGGTACAAGATGGTCTTCAGAGGGTTGGTGTGGACTCAATAGACCAAATGGCCTACTACGACACTTTAGGGATTTTATGAAAAATATCATGATGTTCTATGGGTCAACTTTTAAATTTTTAAGATTCAACAGCAGGAAAACCACACTCCTGTTATAGTAAAACACTAGTTTATGACTTGCAAAAGAATTTGTTTGGGGAAGAAAATCCATATAATATGATCAGTGTTTTCTGGATGACAGCAGATTAAAAAAAATTCTATTTTCTTCTATAAAACAATTTTTGTTAAGCATTTCTACACAATCTTGTTAGCAATTTAATCAAAGACCAACAAGACAAACTAAAAACAATCTAATATCCTGATATATTAAATCATTTCAAGACTTAACATATAATTATAAACCTTGCTGATGCAAGTTCACAACCAAAAGCAAAAGTCTTAAGTTATCTTTTCACTAATTCCTTTTATTTAGAAAAACCAGCAATATAAAATACCTTTTAAAACTTCCAGCCAGGCATCTGTGCCCCTGTTAAGTTTTTAAGAAGGAGATAAAGTGGTTGGATTTTCTTGGTTTTACATTTACTATTTGTATAGCGCCTTTCTGAACTTCAGGCAGTCCAAAAGCTCTTCACTGTAAACATTTGAATCTGTTCACTGATAACGTATAGGAAACAACGCAGCCAATATGCTCATAGTTCGGTCCCACAAACCGTCACATAACCATGAAAATAAGAAACAAAGAACTGCCTACGCTGGAAAACAAACAAAAGTTAAAAATTGCTGGAGAAACGCAGCAGGTCTAGCAGCATCTGTGAAGATAAAGCAGAGTCAACGTTGCGAGTCCAGTAACCCTTCAGTTCAGATGAAGGAACGTTGACTCTGCTTTGTCCGCAGAGACCCTGCCAAAGCTGTTTAGTTTCTCCAGCAATTTCTGTTTTGTACAAAGTCGTAATTTTCTATCTTTTAGCACAAAACACCAAAGGATCGTTCAGGTCCACCCAAGGAAGATCCAATACTGCTGTGCAGTATCAGCATTTAATAAATACTTAAGTCTCTAGATTGGGACTTGAACCCATAACTTCTATGGTGAAAGTAGGCCAACACCTGGAATGGAAACTCACTAGAATTTTCCGCTATTAATTTAAATGGACAAAAAGAGGTTAAAAGGCAGGTTTCATTACAAATGCACACTTCTTCAGATATGACAGCCAGCTAACTCAATAAGCACAGAAGGAAACAAAAATCAACTTTTATTCCATACCCAGCCACTTCCAAAATGTTTTGGAGAGTTTGTAAATGCAATATAATCCCCATTTGTCCCAGTTTTGAAGAATCCTCTATCTCAATAAACCTCCACAAATTTAAAGAAATATGGTTTTCTCCATTTCCTCCCGACGCAAGACTACACGCACATTATTAATTCACCGAAGCACAGAAACGATCTCTCCCTCATAACTTTGTCAAAGACATGGAATGTTGCAAGCATTAATTATTCTGGGGGGGGGAAATCATGGTCCACACATCGGGATGGCTGAGAGGGAAATCAAAGTGAGCTTTACCTATTTTTTAAAAAAGATAATATAGCGTCAAATCGGTCGGTCACTCACCATAAAGTCTTCTGAGCCATGGGGAGGGGGAAAGAGGCCCACAAGGACTTGAACTACCTCAGGGTCACTATGGCCTGGGAGTCGACCACCATCAAGCTGGGCAGACTAGAAAAAGTAATAACTTTTTTCTTTAAAAAAAAGAGGAAACAAAACCGTTTAAACCGCCGTTCATACATCCGACAGGGATCTTGTGCCTCATAAGGTACCGAACCTTTGTCTCCGACACTCTCCCGCTCCTACTCCGGGAAGCCGTTTCTTAAAACCCGCCAAATGCGCCGCTCCTCGCTGGCCGCCGCTGCGCTTGCGCACTGGCTACCGCCACGCCCACTGGATGCCCCGCCTCCCCACCGGACACACCCCGCCCCCCACAATTGGTGTGTCCCGTCTCCTCCGCACGCCCCTCCCCACTACCACCAGGGCTAACGTCCCATTCACAAACCGGGGCTTCGATCGTAATCTGCGCGGAGGGGCGAAGATTCATTGTGAAAAGAGAAACGAAAACTACCGCCCTACTTTTTTTTACTTTGCGAATCCAACCTCCCTGCTCCCTGTTGGACTTTAACATTAAGATTGTTTAGTTGGGGTTTTTTTGGCGGAATGCCAGATAGCATTGAGGAAGTCGTCTGTCCCATTCCCGGGCCAATGTTCCATCTGGTGGGATGTGCGAAACAGCGAACCGTTTCTACACCGCTCCTTCCTGAAAATGGGTCAACCTGTTTCACCAATGCGCACCTAAACAGACATTCAAACCAGAGTGCGAGCAGCACCTCTGCTTATGCAAAAGAAGGAAATCTTGCTTTTATATAGCAAACATATACGTTGCAGGAGAAACTCAACAGGTCTGGCAGCATCTAGTAAGAGAAAGCAGTCGACTTTTTGAGTCCAGTGAACAGCCAGACCTCCTGAGTTTCTCTTGCACAAACAAAAACAGAAATTGCTGGAAAAGCAAAGATGGAAAAGATGCTGGAGGCATCTGTGGAATGAATTCAGAGTTAACATTTCATGTTGGGTGACCCTCAGAACTTCAGAAGTGCACTATTGCACTATCTTTCCGGCCACACATTTATCTGTCTTATCTTCCTATTTCTGTACTCACTTGCATATGGCACAAGGAATAATCTAGAGATTACTAGTTTAGAGGTCCGTTTGTAACTTTCTACTTAGACTGCTATATTCTGATTGCAGGACCGCATTCCTCCTCCTTCCTATAATGTCAGTACCAATTCGGATCACAACTTCTGGCTGTCTGCGCTTCCACAGAAGAATATTCTGCAGCCATTCTGTGATTTATTTGACTTTAGCCCTAAGGACGCACACACCATCTTGGAGCAATGTTGACAAACGAAGAAACACCTGTGTGTTCCTTTAATTAATAATACCCTATCAATACTACCTTTCCAGTCTGCTTCATCCTCTCCTGTACAGCCAGGCCATCTGGGATGGCATGAGCCAGGCTCTTACTACACTCCTTCAAGGATCCAACACCCTAACCAATATCCAGAATGAAAAACCAGTTGGTGAACATGACCTACCTGCCTATTTCTCTTGGACCGCCCAGTGATCACACATTGCCTATCTGTCTGCATGTCCTAACTTGTGCTCCAACTCTCTGAATATGTTATCCAGTCGTTCTTTGCATCTTGGATGTACCTCAGTGACTCTAGCTGATGTTCAAGCTTAAAACCCAGAGCTAAAACTGGTGCAGCCAATGACTCTTCATTGCATGAGCTCATCTAATTGATGGGAAGTAGTCATGACTCTCCACATGCCACAGGACTTGCATTCTGCTTGGATGAGCTGCCCTGCCATATGTTTAAAAACATAACCATGAGACTAAAAGCAGAAGTAGGCCAGTTAGCCCTTTGAGATCATTGCTGACCTGATAATCCTCAACACCTCTTTCTTGGCTTTTCCTACTCCATAACCCTTGATTCTGTTACTGATTGAAAATCTCTCAGCCTTGGGTTATTGATAGATTTGATAGCCCTCTGTGGTAAAGAATTCCACAGATTCACTACCCTACATTTTTCAAAATTACTGGAGTTTAAAGCAATCGCTAACAGCAGTTACTCAACAACCAATTAACTCACTAATTTCCTATGATGTCACAGACTGTTTTCTCTTGTCCAAAGTGATGTTGAACTTATACAATGCAGTTATCACACCTCACCTGGGTGTACAATGGGACTTTGATCAGATGGGCCAATGTGCTAAGGAGTGGCAGATGGGGTTTAATCTAGATAAGTATGAGGTGCTGCATTTTGAAAGGGCAAATCAGGGCAGGACTTATACACCTAATGGTAAGGTCTTGGGGAGTGTTGGTGGACAAAGAGACCTTGGCATGCAGGTTCATAGTTCCTTGAATATGGAGTCACAAATAGACAGGGTAGTGAAGAAGGTAAAAACGGAAAGAACTGCGGATGCTGTAAATCAGGAACAAAAACAAATTTGCTGGGAAAGCTCAGCAGGTCTGGCAGCATCTGTGAAGTAAAAAGCAGAGTTAACGTTTCGGGTCTGGTGACCCTTCCTCAGAAGTGAAGAAGGTGTTTGGTACGCTTACCTTTATTGGTTATTGCATTGAGTATAGGAGTTGGGAGGTCATGTTGTGGTTGGACAGGACATTGATTAGACTACATTTGGAATACTGCATTCATTTCTGGTCTCCCCGCTACAGGAAAAACATAGTTAAATTTGAAAGGGTTCAGAAAAGATTTACAAGGATGTTACCGGGATTGGAGGGTTTGAGCTATAGGGAGAGGTTGAATAGGCTGGGGCTATTTTCCCTGGAGCATCGGAGGCGGAGGGGTGATCTTATTGAAGTTTGAGGTTGTTGACTTGCTCACCGAGCTGGCTGGTTATAGTTCAGACATTTCATCACCATGCTAGGTAACATCATCAGTGTGGCCTCCGATGAAGCGATGTTGTTCTACTCCACTTAGTATTTATATGAACCGGTCTGTTGAGGTGTTTTGTGTCATTTCTGGTTTTTTTTTCAAGGGTTTGTAGATGGGGTCCATTTCCACATGTTTATTGATTGCATTATGGGTTGAGAACCAGGTCTCTAGGAATTTCTATGTGTGTCTATGATCGGCTTTAGCTAGGATGGTCACATCTTCCCAGTTAAGTTGATGGCCTTCATTGTCCGAGTGCATATAGAAGTTTATAAAACCATGAGGGGCATGGATAGGGTGAATAGTCAAGGTCCTTTCCCCAAGGTAGGGGAGTCCGAAACTTGAGGGCATAGGTTTAAGGTGAGAGGGGAAAGACTTAAAAGGGACCTAAGGGGCAATGTTTTTGATTGTCTGGAATGAACTGCCAGAGGAAGTGATGGAGGCTGGTACAACTACAACAGTTAAAAGGCATCTGGATGGGTACATGAATAGGAAGGGTTTAGAGAGATATGAGCCAAATGCTGGCAAATAGGACTAGATTAATTTAGGATATCTGGTCGACATGGAAAGGTTGGACCAAAGAGTTTGTTTCCATGCTGTATATCTCTATAACTCCATCAAACAAAAAATGTTAAGTCAAAGTGTTCTTGTTGTATGTTGGACATAAGAATAAGCTTTTTTTTAGTCCATATTAATTAGGATCAAGGGCAAAATAAATGCAATGGTCTACATTTCTATTTAGTAAAAATAAGTTTGGGGAGATCGAGTCACTGATTTGTACATGGGAGAACCTCAATTGTCTACATGACCATGTGCAGGATGTACTTCCAGCTGCAGCAACTCAAGCTCTAGGTTTGGAGCTTGAGCAACAGTCACTCTGCAGCTTAAAGAACTGCAGGCAGAGAAGGTATGAGTAACTGTTGGACAAAAGACAGGGACCAGGCAAGAGATGAGAGGAGTCCCAATTGCATATCATTCAGAAACTGATTTTCAGCCTTCGGAAAAAGTGAGAGTGACAGTTCCTCCATGGATGCCAGACAGAGCCAAGGCTATGGCACTGTGGATGTTCCAGATGTTTAGGCTTGGGAAAGGAAGAATTGTGGAATGGTCTAATGTTAGGGGTTTAGTTAGGGAAAGGAGTAGACAGGAAGTTCTGTGATTGTAAATATGACTCCAGGACAGTGCCAGGATAAGAATGTCACAGGGAAGCTGCAGTGTATTCAGAAAGGGGAGGATGAACAGTCCAAGGTTATGGTCCATTTTGGACATAGGAAGAATGATAAACAAAGTCCTGCAAGCAGACTTTATTGATTTAAGTAGAAAATTGAAAAGGAGGACTTCAAAGGTAGTTATCTCAAGATTATTCCTGGAACCACTCAGTAGGGAGTATTGGAATAGAAGGATAGAACAGATGAATATATGGATGGAGAGATTGTGCAGGAAGGAAGGCTTTAGATTGCTGAGGTACTAGGATCATTTGTAGGGGAAGTGGGACAGGTTACATCAGAACAGGAACAGGACCAACATTCCTGCAGGGAAGTTTGCTAATACTTTTATGGAGGATGGTATCCAGAAAAGTAGTTCTGAAGGGAGAGAAGCTAAGATGGAATTAGAAATTAAAATGCAATTCAGTGAGTATGGAAGACAGAGGAAGCGTAGGTGACAGCTCAACGTTCCTGTTCATGGGACTTTTAGGCAAGATAAATAAGGGAATAGAAGAGGAGAGATGATATCTTGGAAGGATCATTAAAAGACGCCATAAGGATAGAAGTAAGAAACACAAAGGAGACAAATACACTGCTGAGTACATAGTATAGGCTCTCAAACAGTCACAGGGAGACAAGAGGATTAAATATATAAAATCAAATTTCAAAGCAGTGTAGGAATAATAAATGTAAATTATAATAATATGGTATTTTAACTGACCAAATATTAGTGTGCAAGGTAAGGGAGGGAAAGAAAATCTTACATTACATCTGAGAGAATGTTTTTTAAGCCAGAAAGCCCACAAGGCAGAGGAACGTTCTAGACCTAATATCTGGAAACGAGCCCAGACGAGTGGAAAACACTAGTGGGGAATCATTTTGGAGAGAGTGACCATAATTTAGTTAGATTTATGGTAGCTATAATGGATATGGATAATTTCTAAACTGGGGAAAGACCAATTTTACTAAGATATGATTTGGCTCAAGTAGCTACTTGCAGATAAAACTAACAGAGTGTTGACAGGCATTCAAGGAGGACATTCTGTAGACCCAGAAGACAAATTCACAGCCCACCATAAATAAATTGCATTGGTCTTCATAATGGTATATTAATTTTAACTAATAATT